CCTTATGTTTTCTATAGATTTGGAGACACAAAGTTGATGAAGAAGAAAACGTTTTTGCCATCACCACTACCTCTATAAGTGATATCGATATCTTATTCTTTTTAAATCTTTTCTACATGATTAGGGATTATATATTTTCTCTAACATTTCTTATTAGTCAACTCTGGTTTTGGTTGAATTGAAGAAGCCTGAACAAGAAACTCGCATCCTGGAGGTTTTATCATTAATGTTTTTATGTATTCTTACACAAAATTTCTATTTTTATTGGTTTTATTACTAATTTTGTATATGTAGGTATGTAAAATCATCTAATATTCTCTGCTGGTCTAAATAGAAAAACAAATGGTTAGTTATTTTCATTAGAAGCACTCACCCTCTTGATCTTTGTTTTACTGATTCATGTTTTATTTTGACATTATTATCTAATTTTTGTGTTTGATTTCCCCAAATTGATTTGAGTTTCATTTTTGTTTTAAAATCCGAATAGCTACAAGATGTTAAAAGCGACCTTGAAATCGTAGGACCGATCTTCATATGCATCATGTATGAAAAAGTTCAGATTCTTGATATTTTACGTGTTTTGTTTGTATTTTACATCTGATCTTTATTTAAGAACCTGTACTTATGTGAAGAAACTGTTTGATGAAATGTCTGATAGAGAATTTATAAAAAAAATACAGTTTCTGCTGGAAGAGTCATTATCAAGTAGTGATGATTTGACCATCGTTTCTCTTCTTTTTTTACCTGAAGTGCTAGATAGACCCTAAAGTGCTAATTTACGTTTTGATCATTTGATTTTATAGCTACAAAGAGCCTCAACATGGATATATATTGCTGAGAAAGTTCAGAAAGAAGACTTTGTAGAGATTGAGAGACTCACCGGTGCACCACCATCAGCTCTCTTTCTTTATCACTTTCGATTAAAAAACCTTGGTTGTTTGTTGTTTTTTTGGTTTTTTGATGGTCTATTTTCTTGGTTTTTAACAAATAAAATAAATTTCATTAAAATATCTTAGTTCTCATCGTACAATCATCGGGATGGCAAACGGGCAACAAGTTGCACCGCTAATTTTTGTTTATTTTTATTCACAGGCCTATAATGAAGATGTAGGTTCTCTCTTTAGTTTAACTTCAAGGTAGGCTTCAACTGAAGATAAGTTTTGATATTAAATTTTTATAGCACCCACATTGTTCCCTATTCTGATTGAAGTATGAGTTGTGTAAAGCATTGATATATATATATATATATATATATATATATATATATATATATATATATATATATATATATATATATATATATATATAACAATATACCTCCAGTTTAGAAGATATGATATATAACATTGTATCTGTTTGTTTGTGTAGGTGGGTGTATATATGTGTGTTCAGGTGTATTATGTATGTTTATTTTATCTATAGGTGTTTGTATCTATGTCTACTTAAATCCTGATATTTTATCTTTTGTTACTATCAGATTATATAAAAATGTTTTTTTGTCCCAATGTAGGAGGCATTGTTTGAATTGGAGGATGCAAAACAGGACCATGTGTTAGCGGGCATGGGTTCTGTGAAACGAAAGTATGTTGTTATATCTTGCATCTCATTCAACATACTACTACTCTTCACTTTTCAATCTCTTAGTTCTTTAAAGACGTTTCTTGGACTGACTAAGCAAAAAATTTACTTTTTGTTGCTTTGGAAACAACATGAAATAGAGATGAGGATTAGGTTGTGAAAAGTTTCTAAATTTCACTTCCAAAAGCATAAAACAAATTAAAAAAATACAAGGGGAAGATTGGTTTTTACTAAAAGGGTTTCAAAGATTATTTTGGGTTCATTTTGAAAATTAGCATGTAATGAATATGACTTTAAATAATCAAATCATTTTGGTTGATGTTTGTTCATGCATAAGCTTCTAACCTGATGATGAGCTATATATATATCTCGATTTGCATTTATTTATTTATTTTTTATTTTTTGTTATATGTATAAATATCTATAGAAGCTTGGGTTTGTATAAATTTTTAATTTTTTTGCAGGGTGCCATGAAAGGATTTACTGAGTAAATAGTGGATTGGATGAAAAGTGAAAAGTTGTTTGAATCCCAAAGAGGTCAATTATTCTTTTTCACGTATATTTACCTCTTTTTTGAACTATTTTGCAGTCTAAATTACGCATTTTCACTGAATATAACATGTGATATTTGTTGTTACAAAAAATAACCCTCTTTACAACAGCTAACGTTCATGACTTCAAGTGGTCTTCAAAACTTTAACCTGTAGTGGTAATATAGTTCAAAGACCAAGCAAAACAGCACCACCAAATGCTAAATGATGATGTACTTCTTATACCAAGACTACCTTTAATAGCCAAAATATCATCCAGGGGTAGAATGGACATTAAGTAGCAAAATTATTTATCCTTTTTTAATAAGTTTCAACAGTAACACCGATTTAACACTTATAGGTGCGAAAATGTCATTAATCACTCATCTAAATTAGATATGTTCCACTGTAAAGAGGATTCTTTGTCTATAAATGGAAGTGCATTACATTTTTGGGGGCAAAAAAGTTGTAAAAACCTCCGATCCAATTACCAATTACCAGGGGCAAAAGAGTCCTTAAAACTTTCACTATGTATGTGTTGTGTGTGACTTGTGTGTGTTGCGTATGATTACTTCCAAGTTTCTTTTAGATATCATTCAATGTATTATTATTTGATTTAATATATGATTTTAGGTACTTTCAGGTTTATGTTGTGATATGTTTTTTTCACCGGCTGATGTTGTGCTTATTAGTATTGATGTGTTTTTATTTTTATTGATGGTTTCCCTATCTAATTTCTTTGGGTTTATCTTTAAAGATTTGTTTTGGTTTTTAATTATGTACATATAATTATAAATATTAATTTGTTCTTTTAATCTCATTACAAATAAAATAAATGCTAGATAATCTCATCTGATCCAGTTTTCATTTCTATCATCTCATTTTTTTAAAACACTAATGTAAAGCTAAAAGAATAAAATAACATATATAACTTTGTTTTTAGTTCTCTTTTATTTTTAATGAATAAATAATTTCTATAAATAAGGACCTTGCTAATTTTTTAGCTTCAACCATATAAATTTTATATATGCTAATTTTAGCTAAATGAAAAATGTTTATATTTAAACGTTTAATGAAACAACGAACGGAAAATATCATTAGACCAAATTGGTCTAGAACAAAACTGGCTCGAAAATAAATACGTATCAGAATGAAATAAATTGTCGGAAATAATTTCAAAAATAAAAACATGTGATAATGTTACTGATGGCGTAATAGTTGTAGGTCAACATGCTGGAGAGATGATACATTTTTGCCAATGATTTCTCTATGCTTGAACATGACATGTTCTCATTCAAGCTAAAGAGAAAACAATTTCCAATTCGATTATTGTTCACGATGATAATCAATAAAGCTCAGGGGCAAACAATTCCAAATGTAGGTATTTATCTTCATGGACCGGTTTTCTCACATCACCAACTTTATGTGAAATTATCAAAAGGAATATCACGTGCCAATACCGAAGTTGACGAACAGTTTAACGGCGGTGAAGTCTATATATCAAATGTGGTATATGAAGATGTGTTGAACGATTAACAATACACAATAAATCAGGTGTTCATGTATATTTGTAAAAAATCCCAACTATTCACTTTTAATTCTTAATGATTTCGTTTCTACTAGCATGACTCTTATCGATAAATGTTTAGATGTAAATTATTTATGCAAAATAACTAATCGCCTCTAGAAATTAATATTTGAAAAAACTATTTGTACTCGTCGCTTAGCGCGGGTAAACGGCTAGTGTGTGTGTGTATATATATATATATATATATATATATATATATATATATATATATATATATATATATATATACTAGTAAGATGCCCGCGCGATGCAGCGGCGGAGATTAGTTTCATTCCCGGCGATTACTTTTCATCCAAAAGTTTGTTTCGTTTCGATGGTCGTCAAATCATTTCCTTTCGATGTATATTTCCCTTTCAATATGTCTTCTTATAATTTTACGTTTCACATAATAAAAAATGAGAACAAACAATAAGAGTGTTGTGTATGGACAACGACGATATGGTGTTATGGGTTAGGTGACACCTTTTAACCTAATTATAAAATAGTATTGTTCACCACTTTTTCATGTTAAGGGGTGTTATGTTATAAGATGTGGTAACGACAACATAATCATACCTCAACGGGAGAAATCAACCGATCACTATTTTATTATTTTTTTCTCTCTACCTCTTAACATGTTATAACATTTCAACATTATTTCTTCAATTAGTGTTATAACAACATAGATGGATGACATGGTATGTGATCACAAATAATTTCGTTCAAAAAATGGTTTCATTTTGAAGATTAATATTTGTGGTTTAGGCCTAAAGTAATTTTATAGAGTTAGTAAATATTATTTATGATATCGTAAAATAAGCAATATACGTGTTTTTCAGAACGATGAAACCACGCCTCTACTCTTTTAATATTTGTAAGCTAATAAGCGCTTAAGAATATAGTTTGATGGCTTTAATTTTTTTCTTGTGTCATTACGTAAAAGTGATATAGTTAAATGTAACTATTTAAGATTTTATTTAATTGTTGGTTAAAATTTAATAGAACAATACGTCAATATAACTTTTAAGAATTAGTAGATGTTTTTAGTGCAATATTAAATAAAGTAATTTTAGTTTTAATGTAAAGATAAACACTATTGACATGGATTTGACTTGGCTGCTGCTCATATCTTTTGGTAAGGAGTATGATTTTAAACTTCTTCATGTTTTGTATGTTACCAAAGATATCTAATCATTACTTTTTCGAATAAAGAAAAATAACCAACAAAAAATTTAAAAGTAGGCATTGAAATTATCTCAAACCTAGAACACAATGCAACTCATCATTATTAAGTTGTCTTAAAATCAAATCCAACTTAACTAATATGATATGTGTCAAGCAAATTGATTAGTCTACCCAAGTTCGTAAATAAATTGGTCATTAAAAATTGTAATAAATGATAAATACAATTTGAACTGTTCATTTCCATCTTAGCGCTGTTGCTTTCAAGCATAGAGCTCCTTGATCATCCAATATTTGCAAATTCACCATAAATTCCTGTGAATTTAAAAAAAAAATAACATCAAAATTAAATATTAGAATAAGAATTTCAAACAAATCTGCAAATGAATACATCGTACAACCACTCCACAAAATCAAACATGTTTAAAGCATTATTAACCATGAAATCATAGAACATGTCATAATAAATCGAACCCAATACACACAAAGATAAAGATATGAAATTCTTAGAAAAAAGGAAAGGAAAAAATGGGTGATAACCTGCATTTTTTGAAGCCAAAAAGGATTTATGACAATCCCATTAGTACTTTTCTAATCCTTAATTAAGTACCAAAGAATATTAAGGGGACCATGATACCCTTTCATTTTATTCTTTTGCAGTCTCTTAAAGTTGCTGAAACTTGATAGTATCAGACATAAAACAAAATCTAAAGAATTGCAATTTTTGTTTTTTCCCAATTAATGAAAATACCCTTGACCATTTATGATACCATCCGTGGTATCCAGCTGTGATAAGTGGTATCTAGTTGTGATAAGACATGTAACAGATCCCATTAGAAGTCAATATAGACAAAAAAACAATTTTCACAAAAAAATCCATTCAAATAACAAAAAAACAAAAAACATACAATTTTTAACAAAAAATACTATAAACAGTGCTTGAGGAACCTACAGAGCATAATATGCACTTTTGGTTAGAAAATAGTGTCAAAATTGGTTACATGATGACAAGAATCTGTTATGTACCTCTAGTGGAAATCTGTTATGTACCTCTAGTGGATGAGATCTGCAAAATCTGGAATCATACAAAGCTAATGAGATAGTAGGTTGTGGATTACAATCTTCCCTGAAATTATAAGAAACAAAAACACGTATTTTAAGTTTGGAAATAAGAGTAGCACAGAAGATACACACGCATAGATACACTAAAATACACACAAACACACAAAAATATATACAACTACACACAATTTAAAGGCTATTTTTACCTTAAATGACATATTTATTCAAAAGAGTATCAAACTACTGCAAATTCAACAATCCCCTTCCAAATAGTGTTTCTTTCCAGCTCTAGTGAGATTTAGAGAGGAAAAGAAAAGGAAAAAAAGCAACGTGAGGTGTATGTGTGTGTTCTATTACAAAATAGTAATAGAGATACCTTAGCCATGGATACTTGAATACATCTGCCCCTGATATCAGACACAGCAACCTGAAACTCAAACAGAACATAAAGATTCATCAAGCAAGAACACAAAAATAATATAGAAATAATTCGGGAAAATGAGAAAAACATAAGAAAAATGAACTGGATCTGCCTTCATCAAGGAAAAAAACAAATGATTCTCACTTGCTTTTGTAGATCAAGATATAAAGAGAGATGAGGGTGATATAGTAATCCCTAAAAATCGGACCCCAAAATCTCCATATCGAGTTTACAAATTCACAAACCTCGCTTTTTTTTTTCTTTTCATTGGAACCAAGTGAAGGTCAGGTGACGGCGGCGATAGTGGTAACTAATACACAAGGAAAACCTTGTCAACCACCATGAAACAATTAAGGGAAAGTTACTGGGTTTTCGGTGCTTCAGCCTTCATTGTTCACAAGCATGGAATGAGAATATAGGAAGGGGCTTGTTTGGCTAGGGTGTTTTGAAACGATTGTTCGTTGTGGTGGTATATGTATGTAGACAGATCGACATGTGAGTAGTGGTGGCCATCCTCTCCATTGTCGATTGCAGAGACATTAAGGGAGGGGATAACGAACCCTAGAAGGCCATTACATTGAAAAAAAATAGATTACCAGTTATATCCTTGGATGTCTTGTAGACCAGATGCACCTTCCATAAACCACAACCAACACAATCGTTACTTCCTCTGTGAAAAAGAAACACAATCGTAAAAAAAAACACACGCATAGAGAGATAGGGATAAAATGAGGTCTTGTAACTAAAATAAAGATGATAAAGAAGAGGCGATGGATGAAGGTGAAGAGAGATACCTCGGTGGTGGCTGTTCAGATTTGGTAAAGTGGCATTGAATGGTGTAGTGTCATGGTCAAGTTGTACGCTTGTGGTAATTTACGGATCCGTGCATATATAGATAGAAAACAGTGGTGGATGTTCAGATATGTTGAAGGTAGTATTGAGTGGTGAAGGCGGCATCAAGTGGTGAACATGGAATTTAAAGGTAAGAAAGCAGGTTACTGGAGAGTGCATAGGTCGGAGAGGTTTCAAGGTGTGTGTGTGTCTGTGTAGACCGGAGGGACGCAGCAGCGGCTGTTAGGGAGGGCGAGGTAAGTAGTGGTTGTGGTAAAGAACTGTCTTGGTGGTGACGGTAGGTTTTTGAGAAAATGATGGGAGTGAAAACAATTTTGGGAAAATTAGGGTTAGGGAAAAATAGAGGAAATGTTGGTATACGAATGACGGACTCTACAATCCGAGTGAAAAGGATGATTCATCGATCCGTGTAAGTGGGAGTGAGTTAAAAGAAGCTTTAAGGCTTGTACATGATGTCTAGATAATTGTAAGTGTTGTGTGATTGGTTTAAAAGACTTCACATGGATTGCAATTAATATAATCCGCACAATTCAATTAAAATCTAATAGCTGAAAATCCATTTCCTTGTTTTTTAAGACAATGTCTTAATTTTTTGGGCCTACAAGTATCTATGGTTTATATATATATATATATATATATATATATATATATATATATATATATATATTCTTATTGTAATAGATTTCTAATTGGTATTAATGATTTTAGACCGTTTTACCCCTCCTCCCCCATTACTATTGAAATGCTTATCTGTTGCCAAATAAAATATGAATAAGAAAAAAACATACTTTTTTTAAAAAAAAAATGATGCTATATTCGAAAGTACAATGCTTAAATAGTTAAATTTTTTACATTTATTTACAATACATATGTGGTATAACAATGATTGATCATTTGTTGGAGATGTACAGTCGTTTTATATATCTATTATTCTATATTTCATCATGACTCGAAACCAGTTACAATCCGTAAAATGAAAATACATGTAATCTTTTTGTACGATTATAAAGGATTTCTAATTCGTTTTAATGATTTTGGACCGTTTTACCCCTCCTCCCCCCATTTGTATTGAAATGCTTATTTGTTTCCAAATAAAATATGAATAAAAAAACATACTTTTTTTTGAAATGATGATGATATATTTGAAAGTACAATGCTTAAATAGTTAAATCTTTTACCTTTATTTACAATACAATTGTGGTATAACAATGATTGATCATTTGTTGGAGATGTACAGTCGTTTTATATATCTATTATTCTATATTTCATCATGAATCGAAACCAGTTACAATATGTAAAATCAAAATACATGTAATATTTTTGTACGATTATAACGAATTCCTAATTCGTTTTAATGATTTTGGACCGTTACACCCCTCCTCCATCATTTTTGATTTTGGACCGTTTTACCCCTACTTACATTTTCAGTGTTTTAGTTTACAGGTCGTTTTGACTTTTTGTTGTAAAAAAGACAAATAATAAAAAGAGTAATTATGTTATTTTTCTTATTTAAGCAGTATACTTTCAAATGTAGCATCATACTTTAAATTTTAATTCTTATTTACAATAAAATATATATGTTTTTTTCTTATTGTAACATATTCCTAATTCGTTTTAATGATTTTGGACCATTTTACCCCTCCTGCATCTTTTATGATTTTGGACCATTTTACCCCTCCTCCCCCATTTGTATAGAAATGCTTATGTGTTGCCAAATAAAAACCGAATAAGAAAAATAGCATTTTTTTTTTAAAAATATGATGCTATATTTGAAAGTACTATGCTTAAATAGTTAAATCTTTTAACTTTATTTACAATACAGATGTGGTGTAACTATTAATGAACATTTGTTGGAGATGTACAATCGTTTTATATATCTATTATTCAATATTTCATCGTGACGTGAATCCAGTTAGAATCTGTAAAATCAAAATACATGTAATATTTTTGTACGATTATAACAGATTCCTATTTCGTTTTAATGATTTTGTACCATTTTACCCATCCTGCATCATTTTTGATTTTAGACCGTTTTACCCCTAATTGCATTTTTAGTGTTTTAGCTTATAGGTCATTTTGATTTTTTGTTGAAAAAACAGATAATAAAAAAATCATTTAACCTAATTTTTACTTACTAATTCAATTAAGCAGTTACAATGGCTTAAAATATAAGAGATTTTATGAGTAAAGTCCAATGATAGGTGTTGCTTTTTTGTTTTGCTGTTTTTATCTATTATTTGTTCAATTAAAGGTTAGTTATATCAATAAAATAAAATAAAAATGGTTGAGGGAACTAATGGAATTGGCACTGTTAACGTTATTGGAGTTTAGGAACCATGTGATTAAAGTTGACGGGTATTGGGTATAACCGTTTGTTATATAACCCATTACACCAGATTTCCTTTCCTTTGTACATTCATTCCTACTATTTAAATGAATCAAATGAACTATGTCCATTTTATAACATCGAAACATTCTCTGTTTCCATACGTTTCTTCATTCTGCTTCAATTAGTCGAGTTTTCTAAAATTGGAACACATAAAAGGGTGATACAAGGTTTCAACTTCATATTAACTATTACTTTCTCTTTTTTTTAATGTTTGTTTATATGTCGGTAAGTGTTATATGCCACAAAAAGTATATGATTTTTGTGAAATTGGATAATTTGGATCGTTTAACCATTGAAATATTGTATTGCGTTTTCAACTTTATTTAGTATGTTTGTTGATTTTGCTGGTTTCTTGGTAAATAAAACGTGTTACAGAAAACAAAATCGAATTATTTTGCCACATTTTGTTTGTTCTTGAGTAAAATTGTAGATGAATTTGTGTTTTAATTTATTTTGATGTAAGATGTTTTGCTATACATGTTATTGTTTGCTTTCTGATATCTGTCAACACAAACAAATTCTCTTTCGGTATGTAATTCTCTGAAATGATAGATCATCTTAACTTTTGTTTCTTTTTCAATTGTATTAACATGTTTAATAGATTATATGGTTTAGTTTTTTTTTAAAATTTAGTATTATACTAATATGAAATTTAACAAGTATTTCATTGGGGTTTACCAAATTAATAAGAAAGCTGTTAATCATATGATCTAATAGATTTTGAACCTAATAAAGCAAATCTAAATTGGTTATTAAATGATTTATACAATTGTAATTATAAATGTATACATAAATAACATCTTATTATGTAATAGCATCATATTATTATATTTGTCATATTAGATTATCGTTTCATAAGCTTTATTTAATTTAACTTACCAATGTTTATAGAGGATGGATGGGTATGTCAATGTTGAAGTTTTTCAATCTCTTTGATTCCAATATACTGGAGTTTCGTATAAGATAGCATTTGTTCGAGTTCATTTTGTCTGGCACGACGTTGAGAGAAAAAGAAAACCGGTTATATTCATTGATAAAAATGTCAGTATATATCTTTCTTATTGATATTATATTTTTCATCAAGTTTTACTAAAGTTATATTTTTAGAGAGAAGAAATGATAGGTTTTGTGCCACAAGAATTATTTCATTTATATGATGATCATTTGATGGGATGTCTTTTTTCGTTATCGTCTTTTCAAGTAGAAAATTTTCACTTCCATGAATACCCGAAATATGAAAAGTATTGTTTCATTTATGGTGATTTAAATATTATTATCAATGAAAAGACACAACTCACTCCGGTAGATGTGGATTTTCACAATGGATTTCCTTTATATCCATTAGTGTTTCTTATTAAAAAGTTGTGCATGATAGTGCTTTTCGAAAACTTATAATCGGTACATATAAAACCATACTTATTTTGTGATCATATTAACAATTACATATATTAAATATATTTAAATATATTATTAGGTTATGTTTTCATTTTTTTGTAGATTTTGTTGGAAAAATTGTCTCAGGCAAACAGATTAAATTCAAAGATGAGTTCATAATACTTTTGGAAGATGAATTGTAAGGAAATATTTTCATTAAATTTTTCCATAAGTATTTTGTATGTAAAATAATAGAAAAATCAAATGTTTTAATAAAAACTATAAATTATTTGTTGGGGACATAGAATACAAATGAAGCTATATGACACAAGTGTTTCGCTTATTGTTCCAACGTATCGTGCAATATCAAGGAAATATATCATTTTTGCATCTCGGGTCAAGTTGGTTCGCTTACCGTCAAGTATGTTATAAATTATATTATCCTTATTATTATACAATATTTTGTCTTTCAAATTATTAAATAACATTGCTTTCGCTGTAATATATATTAAATTTCTTTGCAGTGTGTCTTTTGGTATCAACAAAATTTACACAACTTGAATTTAAACCAGATATGTCTGAAGCACAAAAGATTTAGATTTAGTAGAATAATAAAGTTGAATTTTGCTTTGATTAGCTATTAGTTTATTTTTATTTTATTTTTTTTTAACCTTTATATGTCTATAGTACTGTTTTATTTTCAAATTTCTTTAACGTATGTTGTTCTTATAATGATATAGTGAAACCAAAAAAAGTGATATTTGGTTCAATTTAAAATAGTTACTAATTTGTAAACATAACAATCAAATTTCATATGTATGTTATAACATAAAAAAGGATCATAAAAACAATAAAGAAAGTCAATTATGCAAATAATAAATTTTAATTGCTAATAGAGTTTAGGTTAAACCTTAACAATATGTTCTTTCTCTTTTAACTAGTGTATGAAATGCTTTATTTGTGGATCTAATGATGTATCATATGTTATCAAAACAGATATATTATAATGGATAGTCTTGGTAATACATCTCTTCATTCAAGTGACTTTGATTTACCCTCAACAACCGATGTTTCTACTGCTTTACCTTCTGATACTATTGAAGCGGAACAAGTCACGAGACGACGTCGTGGAGGTCGTCCTAGGGTAAGAGGACGACCTCCACCTTGTAGCATTGACAATATTACTTCCCCAAGGTGTCGTCGTAGGAGACCGTCTTTTGTTGTGTCTCCTTACTTTGTTGGTGACAATGTTCATCGGTATTCACAACATGGAAGTATACATGTCAATGACAATATTATTAATTCAAATTCGGTACCTACCATGACATTCTCATCAGGTTTGTATACTTATGTTTGTAACTCACTTAATTACATCGAGCAACCATATGTATCATTTACATTATATAATTTATATTAGCCTCTACTGTCAACATCGAGGTGACGCGTGCTTCCAATCGCCCATCACCTCATCTGATAATTTCTTCAAGTACAACTATTGGTATTGACGGGAATCCATTACATTCGACTATAATGAGTAACTTGAATGCTCCAGTTACAACTAATAACTCAGTTGTACATTTGGTGATACGAACTTATAGTATAGATAATGGTAGAAGTTCTACTGCTTTACCTTTTA